AACCGCCCCCATAGAGTTTCCAAGGAGCACCTGGTGAATTTGAACTGCTGACCTTTTGGTTAGCAGATGTAGCTCTTAACCACTATGCCACCAGGGTTTTCCTGGTGTCATGGTTTGAATTATGTCCCCCCCCCAAATTTGTGTATCAATTTGGCTGAGCCACGACTCCTAGAATTGTGTGATTATCTTCCATTTTGTGATTGTAATTTTATGTTAAAGAGGATTATGGTGGGATTGTAACACCACCCTTACCCAGGTCACATCCCTGATCCAACGTAAAGGGAATTTCCCTAGGGTATGGCCTGCACCACCTTTTATCTTACAAGAGATAAACGGTAAGGGAAGCAAGCAGAGAACTGGGGAACTCATACCACCAAGAAAGCAGTGCTGGGAGCAGAGCGTGTCCTTTGGACCTGAGGTTCCTGTGCAGAGAAGCTCCTAGTCCAGGGGAAGATTAACAAGGACCTTCCACCAGAGCCAACAGAGAAGAGAAGGCCTTCCCCTGGAGCTGACACCCTGAATTTCGACTTCCAGCCTACTAGACTGTGAGAGAATAAACTTTCTCTTTGTTAAAGCCATCCACTTGTGGTATTTCTGTTAGAGCAGTACTAGATGACTAAAACACCTGGCTTTGTATAAATGCCCTTTATTATGTTGAGGAATTTCCCTTCTGTTCCTATTTTGCTGAGTTTTTATCAGGAATGAGTGTTGGGCTTTGTCAAATGCCTCTTCTGCATTGGTTGATAAGATCATGTGGTTCTTTTGTTTTATTTATGTGGTGGATTGATTTTTCTAATGTTGAACCATCCCTACATACCTGGTATGAGTCCCATTTGGTCATGATGTATTTTTTTGATATGATACTGAATTCTATTGGATAGAATTTTGTTGAGAATTTTTGCATCTATGTTCATGAGGGATATTGGTCTGTAGAGTTCTGTTTTTGTGGTGTCCTTGCCTGGCTTTGGTATTAGGTTTATGTTGGCTTCATAGAATGAGTTTGGGAGTATTCCTTCCTTTTCTGTGCTCTGAAATAGCTTGAGTAGTATCGGTGTTAGCGTTTCTCTGAAAGTTTGGTAGAATTCTCTGGTGAAGCCATCTGGGCTAGGGCTTTTTTTTGTTGGGAGTTTTTTTTAACCGCCTCTTCACTCTCTTTTGTTATGGGTCTGTTCAGTTTTTCTACCTCAGTTTGTGTTACTACTATTTCTAATGCTTCTGATTTCTTTCCTTGTCTAACGCCATTGGCTGATACCTCTGGTACCATGTTACATATTGAGTAGTGAAAATGGCAGCCTTGTCCTCGTGAGAATCTCTCCAGAGTTTCCCCATTGAGTAGGAGACTGTCATTTTGGTTGGGAGGTGCTTTAGTCTTTTAAGTTGTCTAAATTAAGAATGGGTGTCTAATTTTGTCGAATGTCTTTTTAGCAACCATAGGTAAAACAAAGTGATTTTTTTTTCTTCTAGGATATATTAATGAAAAGTTAATATAAATCATTAAGTATAAAACCATTCTTGGCATTCTTAGAATAACCCTAGTGAGCCATATGTTATTTATGCTCTTGGATTGTTTACCAAATGCTGCCCAGCTTTATGCATTCATGATCTAATCATAGACTGGTCCGTAGCTTTTCATATTAAAAAAACCAAAACCAAAACAATTGCTGTTGAGTTAATTTTGATATCAATGTTATATTTGATTATAAAATGTTGATTTGCTTTTTCTCCAGAACAGTTTAAATAGCACTGGACTAATGTACTCCTTTAAAAGTTTGGTAGGATTCCTTTGTGAGACCTTCTGGGTTAGGTGCTTTTTTTTTCAGGGAGTTAGCTTTCTGACACCTTTATTTCTTATTTTGAAACTGATTTATTTAGACTTTCTCTTTTGGAGTTCCAAAAAACCAAATCCATTGCCACTGAGTCGATTCTGACTCATAGCAACCCTAGAGGACAGAGTAGAACTGCCCCATAGGGTTTCCAAGGAGCAGCTGGTGGATTCAAACTGCTGACCTTTTGGTTAGCAGCCATAGCTCTTAACCACTGCACCACCAGGGCTCCCTTTTGGGGTTAGGACTAATGAATTATGTTTTCTCTCAATTATCTATTTCACCCAGATTTAACTGTTTATATAGAATTATTCAAAAGTGTTTTGTCATCTTGTTTCTCTGTATCTGCATTCTTATTCATCTTGATTAAATTAGCTTGTGATCTTTTTTATAGAACTGGCTTTTCATCTCTTCTGCTATAATTATGCAAATATCCTTCCATAAATATGGGGCCTGCCCCCATCTCTGTCCTTCATCTTCAAGGGCTAGCATTGGAAATAAATTTATTTAGCTATTTATATCCTACCAGAGCCTTACATTAGCTGCTTTTAAAAACTTATTTGAATATAATTCACACATCTTAAGTGCACAGTTTGAGCCTTGACAAATACCAATAGCCATATAACAAGTTCCCCTATCAAGATAAAGTACACTTCATCTCCCGAGAAAGTTTCCTTGTACTGCTTCACAATCGCTTCCCCACCTCCTACCCCAGGCAAGTACTGTTCTGAATTTATCACTACAGATAACATTTGCTTATTTTGCAGTAGAACTGTACACATATACTTTGTCTGATTTTATTTTGCTTAGCTGGCATTAGCTTTTAAAGGCCAACCTACTTGTTCCAATTAGTAGTGTCCTGGCAGTAAATCCAGCCTCTCTATGGGGAGGAATTGGTACTGCCTATTTAAATGGTGATTCTGTGGTATCTAAAGGATTCTGGGTTGGGAGTTATTTTCTTTCAGTGCACTGAAAATAACATTTCACTCTCTTTTGGTTTCTACTGTTGCTGAAGTCAGCTTTTGGTCTATTACTTTAAAGGTAACTCTTTTCGATGGCTGCTTTTAAGATTTCTGTTTGTCTTATGGGTATTTTTTTGTTTTGTTTTATAACTTCACCATGATGTATGTAGGTGTGGATTTCTTTCTTTATCCTAATTTGTATTCGTTGCACTTCTTGAATCCTTGCTTTAGTGTCTGAGAATTATTAAGCACTGGTAATAAATTCAAATTTCTTCTACCTCATTTTTCTCATTTTAAGGGGACTGCAAATGAGACAGAAAGAATGTATGTAGGGTTGGGGTGTACATGTCTCATACCTTCTCTTCATGCTTCACTTTAGAAGGTTTTTCAGCCTCTTCTTCCAGGTCATTAATTTTCTCTAGCTGTGTCTAATCTGATGTTAAACCCTTCCATTGAGTTTTAAATTTTGGTCTTGTATTTTAACTTCTAAAATTTCTTGTTTTCTTTAAAAATTATCATTTTAATAACTTCCAATTTTCTGTCAATTTTCAAGCTTGGGTTTTATCTCCTTGAAGAGAAAAACAATCATTTTACAATCTAATTCCAATAGCTGAAGTTCTGTTGGTCTTTTTGTTGTCTATGCTGGTTTTTGCTTAAACTGTTTGTTCATGTGCCTGGACTTTGTGTGGTATACTCTCTATTTGAAAAAATGATTTTTCAAAAACAAAAAAAAAACCTAAGTCTAAGAACTGCTTCCAGAGAGTATTTGTTTTCTTCTGCCAGGGACTTGGGGTCACCAATAATACAGGATCATCTTAATCCAACTTCAGAAATTGAGATTTTCTGGGCCATTATGTGACATGAAGCCAGGCTTCAGTCCATGCAAGTACTGGTTTCTGCTAGTTCACTCTTCTTCCTGGGGGTTCTGGGCTCAAGTGGGAGGTCCTAGGTTTAAATCCTGACTCTACTGTAGGATCCTAGAGGTGACTTGTTTTCATTGAGCTCAGTCTTTCACCTCTAATTGAGGTAAGTATTTTCTCATCTTACATATGGGGAAACTGAATCCCAGATAGGGAGTGTAATCCTTCCAACATCCTACAGTTGGTGAGTAACAATTTTGGAATAAACCTAAACCTCTCAAGGCAACTCTTATCTAAGCTTTCCATTTTTTACTTTGTATTTAGAGATCTATAACTCCAAATACCTCTTCCCCTACCATGTACATAAAGAAAACTTTCCAATTCCTATGCACATTTACCATATGGAGAATGAAGAATTTGAATTAGATTAGAGTGAGATACCAGAAGAAGCAGGTGTATGGCAAGGGGAGGAAAGGCCAGAAGGGCAAGGCAGCACTAGAAGGACTTGTGGGGTGAACTTAATATGACATTAAAAGTGTCCTGTATCCTGGTGTGTAGAGCCCTGGTGGCGCAGTGGTTAAGAGCTACGGCATGCCACTGCTGCTAACCAAAAAAGATCGGCAGTTTGAACCCACCAGCCGCTCATTGGAAACCCTATGGAGCAGTTCTACTCTGTTCTATAGGGTCGCTATGAGCCAGAATCAACTCGACAGCAACAGGTAGTAACAGTAGTAGTAGTAGTATCCTAGTATAAGCAGTACACCCGTGGGCTGGCATCCCAAATGAGAACAGGAGGCTAGCTTGTTCCTGGTTTCCTTCCCATGTTGATTTCTTCTTCCCAGCTTCTAATTAAGGTCTATCTCTCACTCTGAGCAGGGGGCTGTCAGTACCAGCTATTCTGGTCCTGGGTATGGTTGGAGGGGAGGTAAGTTAGAGACTGAGGAATATTGAAACCAAGGATACAGCTAAGAAGACCCAAGAAGAGGGTTGGGATACCCAATACCAGACAACTTAGGGCTGAGGTTTAGGGGCATTATTCCTTTGTGGAATATTGTTTACAACACATTTTCCCTATAGAAAAGACAGGTCTCAGTTGAGATCCAACTTCCAGACTTCCTCTTGGCTTTGCCTCATAATTTACTTTATTATCAGAAAACACCATTTACCAGAAAGCACACTTCTTTCAGTTACTTACCTTGACCCTCATATTCTGTTCCATAAATCTGCCTGAAGAGGTTCTTCTAATTCCTTTAGCCTCCATCTTCCAATGGCCTATTGGGTCACAATGCCCTCCCAGCTCCCCTATTCATCCTGATCTGTTTCCTGCGTACCTGGAGTTCCTGGCTGAGGGCTGGATGGATGGAGAAGATGAGTGTGACCATGGTAACAGCAAGGACTTGCAGGACAAGAAGACCAAAAAAGCCCCTAATCCACTCTGAACTGGAGTAACAGCTTAAATTCTGGGACCATGGGCTGGTCTGGCTGACACTACAGAGCTGGCATGTCTTTGATTTTGCTATTAAGGTGACACAGGGCGAATACATTCAGTATATGAGAGCTCAGTGCTGGGAGAAAGCAGAAGCCCCCTGGTGATGATAGCTTCTTGCCCATTGGAGGGAGGTTATCACCACCATCTTGGCCCTTCCCACCAGCATTCCTCAGGACCAACCAGGATGATGGGTACTGCATTTTGGGAGACAAAACCCAAAGGAAGCCCACCTGACCCTTGAATTGACCCCCTATGATATCTAAGTACAGCACCTGGATAGACAGTGTGGCAGCTGCCTTCCTCCAGAATTGAGAGCCTCATTGAAATGAATATCTTACTTCTAGGGAAGGGAGTTTGTGCTAGAGCTAGGCTTTTGCTTGAGGAACAAAGGGTTTGGCCAGGTATAAGGGCTCATATTTCTTCAGTTTCTTTCTGAACTTTATGTTCCTAACACTGATAACTGAAGTTCTTTGTGTCACTGTTGATGAAAATTTGGCATCCTAAGTCAAGACTTGCTACAACTTTTCCCAGTAGCTTCATCTGGCCACTGCTGCATCTCTCTTGGCCAAAGTAATCATTCGTGACTCAGCCCTTCACTGACTTGGCAACATTCTCATGGTTGTGCCTCTCCTACTCACTCTTGTTAGTTACCTGTGGGCCAGGCACTGTGCTGAGGATATAATGATGAAGGTTGACCTGGGCAGATACTAAACAAGCAGCAATATGAAGTATCATGAAGGAGAAATATAGGCTGCTATGGGAACATCACAAGCAGACTGTCTTAGGCTGGGTTCTCTAGAAAAGCAAAACCAGTAAAGTGTATAAATATGTATAGAGAGATTTATGTCAAGGAAATGGCTCATGCAGTTGTAGAGGCTGTAACGTCCCAAGTCCGCGGGTCAGGAAAGAAGCTTCTCCTGATTCTTGTAGCCACAGGGGCTGGCAAAGCCAAGATCTGCAGACTGGAGAGCAGGGCTGTTGGCTCACAGACTGTGAAGATTGATGAATCCCAAGATTGGCAGGTGATACAGCAGGTAAGCTGCTAGCTCCAGTCCCAACAACCAGAGGTCAGATGAACAGAAGCCAGCTGCAGAATCCAGAATGGGCAAAAGCCCCCAGCCCTACCTGAATGTCTGCACACACTCAATGCAGGCCACATGCCCAAGGCAACTCCCCTTCAACTGACTGGCTACTCACAGCAGATCCCATCATGGGGGTGATCACGTATCAAATCTCAACAGAGGAGTGATCACAACATTATACGACTGCCAAAACACTGAGAATCATGGCCCAGCCAAGTTGACACACAATTTTAACCATCACACAGACTAAGCATGGTTTAGAGAGGTTCAATAGGGTGTTTGGCACTTTAGGTACTGGTGCCACAAGCCTGTAAAAGAAATAACAAGATTTTATGTATGGGTGTAGATGTTACTCAGGGGAAGAAAAACTCTTTAGAATGGTGGCATTTGGTGGAAGAGGCATGCATCTAGATTTTTAGAAAAAAGGGTCTTGGTATCCTGAACCAATCTAGGCCCATAACCAAGGCATAGAGGTCAAAGAAGCCAGTGACCAGCCTGAGGTCACGACTGGACCCTTAGAGCTTGAGGGTCAAGAAGAGTGTCCTTTGCCCCAGTGCATGGTCTCTTTCCTTCTCTGCAGGTGCCAGCCAGCTTGCTGAGGCCTATACAAACACACAGAGTTGCCAGACAGACATCCTCCTCATGCCCCGCGGACAGAAGAGGGGCCGAGGCCTCAGAGCCCAGAGTATCTGCCCCCAGCTGTTGGAGATGGTACTGCACTTACAGCAGACCATGGAGGAGTGCTTCCTGCAGCTGATGACCAGGTACAGGCAGCAGGACCTGATGCTGGAGGAGCAGAGGCTGAACCTGCAGCAGAGGCACAGTCAGGTCATATATGAGCAGGAAGCCCTCCTGATCCGTTTAATGAGTCAGCTGGCCGACATCCTACAGTCTAGGTCCTGGAGTGGCCTAGGGCTCCAACTGCCTCCATGCTCCATGGATACTGGGAGTAATGCTGGAGGTGGTCAGGGAGCCCATTCACCCAGGCATCCTGACCAGATACCTCCCCTGTTGAGTGAGTTCAAAACTGCATTTGTCATCCATGACCTCTCCAGTCGTGGGGAAGACATCTCTGACTTCTACCACTCCGAGTTCCAAGCCTACAACGCCTACCATGGAGACAAATACCATGAGGATAACAACACCTTGGTGAGAATACAGGAACAAGTACCAGGGGACTAATCACTTAGATTTACTGAGCACCTCTGTGCTCAGTACTGCATGCTCTCATTTAATCTTCACAGCCCATGAAGCTGTCTTCTTATAGATAAGGGATCAAACCAAACCTGTTGCCATCAAGCCAATTCGAACTCATAGTGACCCCATAGGGCAGACTAGAACTGCCCCATAGGGCAGACTAGAACTGCCCCATAGGGTTTCCAAGGAGTGGTTAATAGATTTGAACTGCTGGCCTTTTGGTTAGCAGCCAAGGTCTTAACCACTGCACCACCAGGGCTCCATAGAAAAGAGAAGGGGCATAGAAATAAGGGGATGTGCCCAAGAAAGTTATAGATCTGGGGTCTGAATACCCCAGGCATGCTTTCCCTAAATCCCAGCTTATAACAACTAGAAGTCATGCACTGGCTCACCAGGGTGAGTGAACCTGCCCCTCAGGAGCTTAGACTGGTGATAGATGTAGTCAGCTATTGGGGAAGCAAACCTCAGTGTCCCTAAGAGCATTAAGGGATACCTTCTTCAGGTGGTCTGGAAAGGTCTCTTTGTCTTTAAGGCTGAATCAGCCTACCATATTGGGGTAGGGGCATCCAGGAGGGAGGAACACTGTGAATGAAAGCTTTAAGATGGGAAGGGCCTGGAATGACTGGGAAAGAGGATCATGTGGCTAGAGTAGGGACAATGAGCACTGTGGCAAGAGGTGGGCAGCGGTAGGTCATGGTGTGGTGTTAGGATATTATCCTAAAGGAGGATAAGAACTCAATGAAAGGCTCTCAGCAAAGGGGGTTCATAGCAGCTCTGTAGCCAGAGTGGGAGTGAAGGACTCTGGGTGGGTAGCACTAGCCATACTACCCTCTCTGTCCTGTATGAGTGATGTGTGGTTGACGGCCATCTGCTTTTCTGGGGTTTGAGTCAGGTATCTCCACTGGGCTCTGAGGGACTATACCTCCTCCAATGACTTGAAGGGCTCTTACATGGAAGGAGGAATAGCAGAGATGGGTACGAGGTAGGGCCTGTGGTAGTTAAGGGTCCAGGGTCTGGAATCAGGCAGGTGGACTTCTGTCAGTCACATGAGGTCACACACACAGGCGGATGACCCAATAAGCAAGGGAAGCATGGGATCACTTGTGCTCACTTACTAATCTGTATTGAACAATCTCACTTTTTCACAGGGAACTTGTAAATTGTCAGGGATTGTAAATTCGAAAAGTTTTGATTCTATAGGAAGGTGCTGTGGGGTTGGGAGAAAGATGCCAGCCATACCTAGAAGCAGACTCTTTAATGTGGTAAAAATATGTGAAATTGTTCACTACAGATGATCTAGTAATCACTCTGCTTACCTTGCCTATTGGATAATCCACCCCTGGTCACACGGCAAGTCGGTTATTCAAACTTCCTGAGTTTCACCGTTTTAAAGCAGGGATCATAATACAGCCTTCTCAGGAGCTGTGAGAGTTAAAGCAACCACATGAAACAATTCATCTAGTGTCTGGCACAAAGCAGAACTCAGTGACTAGTAGCTGGTCCACAATATAGCTACTATTACCATTACCTATGTGGCTCTAAAGGGAGAAATTTGCAAGCTGTAATAAGATGTTGGGTTTATGGAAAGTTTTCTACCACTTAAGGTTGTCAAACTGCTTTGTGGGGCAGGGAGAGATCCAGCTGGACTAATCCAAGATGGATATTAGCTTATTGGCATTTTTAAACGGGTCCATGTAGGACACAACAAGAGGACTGATCTCAGATTCCTCCCATCTCCAGGGCTTCATTAACCTTAGTACCAGTGAGAACAAGCTCTGCATTGACCTGATGACTAAAAGGGTAAGCCATGTTCTGGGCTGTGTGGGGACTCCCCCAGGCCCAGCCGCCCTGGAATGTTCCTGAGCATGTGGTAGATACAAGAGTGGGGCTTAGGAGTTTGGATAAATAATTTCTAGAACAGCACATCTAATCTCCTGGCCTTGCTGACTGTGTCCAGAGGTATTCTCTGGATAAGTATATGGTGGGTCGGCTGCCAAGGGAACCTCTGGCCCAAGTGTAAGATGGAGAAGGTTGTAAAATTAAACACTGCCTGGTGAGTTATCTGTGTAATCTATGATGAGAAGATGGAAGCCTCCATTCAGCAAGGAGTGTACAGCATGCATACCAATTCCCCTTCTAGGAGGTCACGTATGTGCAGGGCAAACATTGTGTGCATACTAGGAGTAAATGAGGCATCATGGCCTTCCCCAGTTGGGTTGCCCTTAAACTCTCTTTGCCAACAGTTGAGTCGGAGTGACATGAACTACATTGAGGATGCCCTGCTACAATACTGTGATTGGAGAGGGCAACCATTGTAAGTAACCTTCAGATCCATGTACCTGGTCCACAGGCATCTCTCCTCATCCAGGGGAGGATTCAAGGCACCAGTCTTGGTTGGTTGTCTCCCTTTATCTCTGGGTAATGAATTCTAGCAAATACGTAGAGCAAAAGATCATGAAGCAACCTGGCATAGTAGAAATAGCACTCTCTTATAATTCAAAAGGCCTGAGTTCTTGTCCCAGCTCACACACTTATTATCTGTGTGACCTGGGGAGTTGATAGCCTTAGTTGGTAGCCCTGTAAAATGAGGTTGAACTTGGTAGCAAAGATCCTTTCTAGTTTAGACACTCTACCCTTTGAAAAGGACTAAAGGCTAGACTCTGAATGAGGAAGGGTCTCCAGGCCTAGAAACCACACGGTCTCTCTGGGTCTGTCAACAGCCTACGGGAAGAAGTGGCCCGGTTCCTGACCTACTACTGCAAGGCACCTGTTCCTCTTGATCCAGAAAATGTGAGTCAGTTTTCTGGCCTTGCTGCCACTCTGGTGCAAGGCTGTATTTTGAGGGGACTCTCTTGAGTTTTCCAGGGGAATGGGGAGAACCAGTGAAGAGTCTCAGGGCTTGGGCAGAGTGAATGTCAATGAGTCCCAACTGAGGAGGATCCTTATCACTGTTCCCCACTAAAGGAAACAGAGTGGCTGCCCCTTTTTCACTTGGGTCTTGCATTTTGACTTAATTTCTGCCTTTTATGTGTCTCAGGTAGTTGCTCTCAATGGCTGCTGCTCTGTCTTCTCAGCACTGGCCACGGTTCTGTGTGATGTAGGGGGTAAGTCAATGGGCTCTGCTTTCACTCTCAGTGAACCACCAGGCTATGGGCAGAAGTATGTGGGCACTGGGCTTTGAGGAAAAAGACCATCTTGATCAAGGACTTTCCCCCAAAGTGCTGGGATTTCTCCTATACTAACCAGTATATCTTCCTATTATTTCTATGGGAGTGAGGAGTTTGGATCCCCATTTAACATAGAGGTGGTACATAATGATAATCTTCAAGGTGGTAGGCCTCAGAAATGACAATGGAAACCAGCCCATTACGCTGAGTTGACTTTTGGTCTCAACTCCAATACTGAGAGCCCTGGCAAATTGGCTTAGATTGTATAGATTTCCAACTTTCTATGGAAAAAATTGCAGTTTTTCCTGGAACAAATAAGGCTGTGAGATCTATTCTCAACCTCACTTTAATCAATGCCCATACAAGAGTCTCTGATCTTAATGAGCTCTGGCTGCATGGAAAGAAGTATCCAAGATGGCTTGTTTCATTCAAAGGTGTGGGTCATTGGGTAGCTCACCAATGAGGCCAAATGGATAGGAAGAAAAGAACGTATGAGATCAGCAGGTACAAAGAACCTGAGCCATGTAAAAAGGAGAGAGAGAAGAGCCCTCCCTGTGTATGGGCCTTGGCTTCTAGTGTTTGGCCTGAAGCCGACAAGACTCTCCAAATGACCAGTGTTCCCCCAGCTAGCAAGCCTGGCTTGATTCATGCCCTGATTCTGAGCCATTCAGTCATATTCTTCCCTTTTCTCATTCTTTAGTGTACCCCCAAAGAGAAACTTGAGTCTCCCCCCAAGTATTGGCTATAAGAATGAATTAAATTTTATAGATTCTAAGTCCAAGAGCACTAATCCCAAGGTTAGAGGCATTGCCAAACTGACCTTTTATGTTGGTAGCTTTGCTGCTAGTCTCGGGGGGAGGAGGTGGTGGTAGGTCTGATTGAGAGACTGTGGACTGAAAACTTCATTGTCTTGTGCTTTCAGAGGTCTTTCTGATCCCCACCCCCTTCTATGGTGGTCTAGCCTTTAGCTCCCGTCTGTATGCGAACATTGAGCTGTTTTTCGTCCACCTGGACAGTGAGGTCAGAATGGGGCCCCTTCTGCTCAGCCTACCTAGGCAAGGGACTTTCCTAGGGGCAGTGGGAATACATAGGGGGTCTTGCAATCTTACCATATGAATGATGGTGAGGAGGGGTGGAGAAATCAGGATAAAGAAGGCATGTTGGACTAGAGGCCTTGGTATGAAGGCAAAGGATTGTTGTGGGTTTAAGGAAATGAGGAATCAAGGCTCAGCTCTTCCAGATGGACAATTCTCAGGCACTGCTTTCCAGATCACTGGTGAGAACACTCGACCTTTCCAGCTCACTGTGGACAAGTTGGAGCAAGGCCTACATGAAGCTAGGCTTAAGGTAAGGAGGGAACTGTGTTTTCAAGATGGCTACTGCTGGCTCTGAAAGGGGCTAAGTACTGAGACTCTGTTACAATATACTCACCAAGACCTTGTGGACTGTCTATTAAGAGACAGGGAATGAGCCCAGGGGAGTTTTCCCCTAGGATCTCTGTCTCCTGTTGATACCAGTCCTCAGAGCTCTTTTTGCTTCCCCTCTGCAGGCAGTATGATAGCTGCTGCTTCAAGATCCTTCCCTAGGCCTTAATTAGATGTCCTATATTGGGTGCCCTGACCTATGAAGAACCCTTGGCTGAATTTGTGATAGATATTAAAGATTTCTGTTCACTCAGTTATGTTTGGGTTCTTTTTAGAGGAAAAAGGTCAGAGGCCTCGTGCTAATCAACCCTCAGAATCCTCTGGGTGACATCTACTCCCAAGACTCACTGAAGGAATACCTGAAATTTGCCGAGAGGTATGTGAGTTCCACCCCTTGTAACTAGATGTTATTATTGTTGTTGTTAGGTGCTGTCAAGTTGGTTCCGACTCATAGACACCCCATGTACAAGAGAGTGAAACACTGCCCGGGCCTGCGCCATCCTCACAATCATTGTTATACTTGAGCCCACTGTTGAGCCACTATGTCAATCCATCCCGTTGAGGGTCTCCCTTTTTCTCATTGATCCTCCATTTTACCAAGCATGATGTCCTTCTCCAGGGACTGGTCCCTCCTGATAATGTGTCCAAAGTACATGAGACAAAGTCTTGCCATCCTTGCTTCTAAAGAGCATTCTGGCTGTACTTCTTCCAAGACAGATTTGTTCGTTCTTTTGGCAGTCCATGGTATATTCAATATCCTTCGCCAACACCATAACTGAAAGACGTCAATTCTTCTTTGGTCTTCCTTATTCACTGTCCAGCTTTCGCATGCATATGAAGCGATTGAAAATACTATGGGTTGGGTCAGGTGCACCATTGTCCTCAAAGTAACATTATTGCTTTTCAACACTTTAAAGAGGTCTTTTGCAGCAGATTTGCCCAACGCAATATGTCATCTGATTTCTCGACTGCTGCTTCCATGGGCAATGACTGTGTAGATCCAAGCAAAATGAAATCCTCGTGACTAGGTGAAGTCCCTAGAAAGGGTTTCTATCACCTATAGTCAAGAAGTCAGAAGCTTTACCCTAATTACTCTTACTACATACCATACTTCACGAAGTTATATACAACTAATTGAAATTGAAATGAAGGAAAATGCACCCACATGCTTACCACTTCAAACTTTTCTTGCCATTTCGTTTCTAGGCTTTGCCAATATACAGATATATACAAAACTATTATAATATAGTTCTGTTGCTTTTCAACTTATTGTAGCATATAATCACTTTCTCCCAACATTCATTTCCTAAACAATTTGGCCTAAGGTGCTCAGGAAGGCAAACTCAGACCTCACCAGGTGAAAACCATGTTCCTATAGAACTTTCAAGGAGCCCTGGTGGCACAATGCTTAAGCAGCTCAACTGCCAACCAAAAGCTTGGCAGTTCAAACCCATCCACCAGCTCTGTGGGAGAAAAGACCTGCTCCCATAAAGATTACAGCCTTGGAAACCCTATGGGGCAGTTCTACTCTGCCACATTGGGTTGTTATGAGTCACAATCACTTGACAGCACACAACAACAACATAGAATTTTCACCTCCCATTCCTAAGAACGTGTTAACATTTGTTAGTGCTGGAGTCTTAAAATACCCCTATTCGTTAGGGCAGATAATCTTCCATTTTCTAGAAAAGACAGATTTATTCAAACTCCATAACTAAGCCAGACCAATTTATGGCAGAGCATGGGGGCAGGGGAAAGAATGCTGGAGATGCTGGGCTGGAATTCTACAGAACTGGGTTCAAATGCGAGCTCCAGCACCTGCTAATCAAGGGAATTTCACATCTCAGGGCCTCAGTTTCTTCATTTGTGAAATGGAGATGACAGTACTACTCCAGAGGGTTGCTGGGGAGAATAAACGAGATGATGCACATAAGCACATAGCCCAGTGCCATCACTCGATTAATACCCCAAGTAAGGGGCTCCTGACTCATCGGGCTCCAACTCTGTAAGACACCCAGCCCCTTCCCCTTGCTCTCTGACTGATGGATGAAGGGTTAGATAAGATGTTTTCATGTGTCTTACTTGGGTCCTATCCTTCCCAGTACCCCCAAGCCAGGTCTAACTGTCCCTTCTAGTGTACCACCCCATTCCACCTTACCAGTAGCGTATCTAGGGTATTGCACTGGCTCTGGGTGCGTGGCACCACTGAGCAGTTTTTCTATTATCTCAGTGTGGCCCAACGTCCTTCCTCAAGCATGGTAATATGCTAATTAAAAGATTAATGAACTTGACTTGTATTTTTGAGCTGATATTATGGTAAAGATATCTAAAAGAGGGGTGTCAGATGTTTGGACAGGGCACAATTTCAGTGCTTGTCATAGGTGCCATATTCCATAGGTATGCTGCTGGCTGTACTGGGCTAATAGAAATTGCTTAGTTGCACCACATACCCAGGGCCAGTATAATACCTGCCATACTCTAGTACCTTACCATGCCCCTTGAAGGGTTTGGTGGGCTGCTGGGGTGGTAGGAAATCTGATCTGTACCTAGGAAAGATCGTAAAAGGAAGTTAATTATGATTAGAGAAAGAACTTTGCTCTTGTTCTTCTTTTGTCCAATCTGCAGGCATAAGCTACATGTGATTATAGATGAGATTTACATGCTGTCTGTATTTGATAAATCCACCACATTCCACAGTGTCCTGAGCATGGAAAGGTGAGTTGGTCTTAGCTGGAGCTGGGAATAAAAACCATGGGGTTCCTGCTCTGCATGGTGCGTTGTTTACGTGCCAAAAACTTCATTGGCTATGTGCTAGGTACTGAGTTAAGTAGCAAGGGGAATGTGAAAATGAACAAAGCATCATTTTTCCTCCCAAGTATCTTCTAAAAGTCATGTTATATACAAGATAACTTGAAGGCAGGGTAGAAAGTGTGCTGTCAGAAGTCAAGATAAAGCCCTACAGAAGACCAGGGTAGGAAGCTCTTGGTTAAGTACAGCACAGAGCAGAACTTCCCCAGGGGTAGTATTTGGCCCTTGGATAGGAGTCCAGCAAGAAAATCAAGGGAAGTGCATGCCTGGTAGAAGGAATAGCTACATAAAAGCTGAGGCAGTAAGAAATAGGTGAGCACGTTCTAGGAATGGTGGGTGGCCATATATGACTAGCCAAACGCCAAGAAGGTGGCTTGGGACCAGCTGTAGAAGGGCCACGAGCCAGGCTGAGGGCCCTGGACTTTATTCAGTGGGCACTTGAGAGTTGTTCCATCTAGGATGCCTTGTGTTGACTTTCTGCCTTAATTAGGGCAGTATTGACCTCTGTTGGCCCACCTGTCTGGGAGTGACCTCAAGTCCTCTTTCTCCTTTCCTTTCATACACGTCAAGTCTTTATCCTTCAACTATTCCTCCATAACCTTGATTGTACTATCTCTTCTCTAGTTTGCCTGACCCCAACAGGACCCATGTGATCTGGGGTACCAGTAAGGTGAGCCCCAGCTGTCGATCCTTGGGTGGGGAAGGAAGGAGAACAGGAGCAGAAGGTACCCAAACCAGGTGTTCTCTCCCCTACTACTCTTTTTCTAGGATTTTGGCATCTCTGGCTTCCGTTTTGGCACTCTATACACCCGCAGCAAGGCAGTGGTCACTGCCATGAGTGCCTTTGGCTACCTCCACAGCATCTCTGGCATCACCCAGCATAAGCTGTGTCGGCTGCTCCAGGACAGAGGTACTGAGCTCCATCCTAGGCTAGCATCTTGGCTGGACTTCTTGGCCACAGGGAATTCCTGGGTCTTCTTGGACCTCTGTTAATGCCCTTCATACACGGAGATCCTGTTCACTGTCTCAGGCTTGGCCTTGGCAGGACATGAAGTTTGAAGGAGGGTAGGATGCAGCTCAGATGGTGCAGTGGGATGATGCAGGTGCTGGTCTAAAACACAGCATGGGCTTGAACTTCTGGATGTCTGGTAGCTCTTACTCTGCCTAGAAAGGGGATAGTCAATTGCACTCTTAAGATCTGAAGGTAGGAAGTTGAAAAATCGGTCTTTATGTAAATGTCTCCTTTCTTCTCTAATCCCCTGCTTGCTTCAGGAAAAGATTACAAAGAAACTCCCTGCATCCTCTAATACAGCTTAACCTCATCTTCCAAGGTGACCAAAAGGAGAGTTCCATCTGGGGGAGTTGATGTGGCTAGATTTATGGCACCTAGATTCATATTCCCCCCTGGATCTCAAGTGAATGCTGGCCTTAAAGGGAACTTACCCCCTTTCATGCTGTGGCCCAAATGTAGATAAGACCCCTTTTCTTTAATCCTCTATAATAGAGCAGATACCAGGCTGGAAGGTTTTTTTTTTTTTTTTTTTTTTTTTTTAAAATAAACGTGTCAAAGATTTAACACATTAATTAGTGAAGGGGGCTGCAACATCATTTAAGAGTTTTAAGAGGTCAGGGTATTTACAGACAATTTATCAAAGAAAGTTAGGTAAGATTTCTGAGTTAACAAGGGAGCAATTAGTCCAAAGGACTAATAGACCACATGAACCACAGCCTCCATGAACCCAAGAGCAGAAGAACTAGATGGTGCCCCACCACCACTGCAGACAGCGCTGACTGGGATCACAACAGAAGGTCCCGGACAGAGAAGGAGAAAAACATACAACAAAAAATCAAATTCACAAAAAAGACTGAAGGAACCCCCAAGACCATGGCCTTAAGAAACCCCTTTGATTGGGAACTGAAGCCATTCCCAGAGAGACCACTTTTCAGCCAAACAGTTTGAAGGGTTTAAATAAAAAGCTGGGATATAATGAAACAAACTAATGTAATAAAATAAGATGGCTTAAAAAAAACAGTTTAATTTCAGCTTTGAATAGGGAAGGAGGTAGATAGGAGAAATTTTAACTGGATGTTTTCCTATATGCACCAGACCCTTTGATATTTGGCAGAAACCAGCTTCCCAGCCCCTAGAACATTGATTCTCAACCTCGGCAGCACATGGGAATTACCTAGGGAGCTTTAATACTAGTGCATGGGCCCCATCCCAAAGAGTCTGATGTAGATAATCTTGAGGGTATAGTTTAGGCATTAAACTCCAGATAGTTTTAATAACAGATGGTTCTAATACCAAGGACAATTGAGCTAAGAGCACCCCAGGTTCCTCAAAGTCCATAGTGTGAGGCTCAAAGGCAGGAGATATGGGGACCTGCTGCTTCTCCAGTTGACACCAGGAGCATCAACCCCTTTTAGGGGATATTCTTCCATTATACCTCCTCCTTGCCTCAGGGGTATAAATGCAAACAGAGCGTTTCTATTGAACTATTGAGAAACCCAATGTCTCTACCTAAGCCATAGATGAGAGGTGGGTGTGTTGGGTATGGATGCCCATAACACATAGATGTGTTGATGGATGCCATCAATTCAAATATGATAGTCTTGGATAGAAGAGCTGGCATGAAGACCAGATAGGGAGCAGTTGGTAAGGAACCCTTTGGTAGATCTGACACAAAACCTGTGATGGCTCTCTTCCTCCATTCATCCAGATTGGATTGATAAAGTGTACCTGCCCACTAATTGGTCCCGGCTCCGGGAAGCTCACAAGTATGTCACAGGCAAGCTGAAGGCCTTGAAGATCCCCTTTCTCAATCGTGGCTCTGGCTTCTATATCTGGATCAATTTGAAAAAGGTTAGGTCTGGGAATGAAGACTAGCATTCTGGGGCAGAACTGCAAATAGACCCTGGGCTAAGCTCTGTCCTCTGCCCTCCCTAGTACCTGGACCCGTGTACATTTGAGACGGAGCTAGTCCTCCACCACCGCTTCTTGGATAACAAGGTGATGCTGTCCTGTGGCAAGTCCTACATGTGTAAGGAGCCAGGCTGGTTCCGCCTTGTCTTTGCGGATAAACCCCACCGGCTGAAAGTGGGTGAGTGGTGCTGACCTCCCAATCCTGGCTCCTTCAAAGATGCCCCACCAACTTCTCTATAACCCAACTCCTGAATGATCAAGATGTGGTGAAACCCATGTGAAATTGTTCACTATGGATTAGTAAGTAAATACAATTAAGCCAGTATGTACTGTGCTTACTGGTTAATCTGCCCCTGTGACTTTTCCCTTTTTCTTTTAGCAGCCTATAGCTTGTCCTTCTATTCTACCTGTTTCAATCTTCATATCTTTAATTAAATGCCTTTGTAAACAGGAACTGATAGGTGCTTGAGATACATACCTACTAATTCATTATACCTTCAGGTGTCTGTTTTGTGCCCGACATTGAACAAGGCATTGAGACTATGTATAATCCTCTAAGAAGTGGTACTCTGGCCCTGTAGGACTTGCAGTCCAGTAGTGGGGATGGATGGGTAGATGATGGAAGTTCCTCTCTTGTATATTATGCTATGGAGTTCAGATACTCCTCTGAAGATTTTAGAGACCATCACATCCATTTTAACAAGTATTTATTGCCTCACACTGCATGCCAGGCACTATTCTACCTGCTGGGAATGCAGCAATGAATGAGACAAGGGGAACTTTGATGCTGCAGCAATATCTTTTTGGCTAGTGTAGAGAGCAGATTGAGTGAAGAGATACTACCCTACCCATTGCCATTCAGTCAATTCTAACTAGTAGTGACCCTATAGGACAGAGTGTAGAACAAGGCTATAAATCTTTATGGGAGATGATCACCACCTCTTTTTCTCCCGCGGAGCTGCTGGTGGGTTCGAACCGCGGACCTTCCAGTTAACAGCTGAGCGCTTAACCACTGCACCACAAGGGCTCCTTTTGAAAAGACTCTAGACGCATGGAACACTTGATGAGGCCATGGCTATAAGTCAAGGTACAGGATTTGATATGAGACTTTAAGGTATCTAGCAGGCTGCTATGACATTGCCATTGGGGATGTGGCAGGTAGACATAAAATCCATCCCAAAGAAGGGAGGCCTAAAGTTCAGCATTGGTAGAATCACTGAATAAGAATTTCAGGGATCGTCTACCAAGACCTGGGTATGTTTGAGGCCCACCTGCCAATCCACTAAGTATTTGTCTCCATTTGGACCCTCTAGCAATGCATCGGTTCTGTGAAGTGCTACAAGAACAGAAGGAGGAGTTGACAGTGAGGCTCTTAGAAGATGCACAGAAGGAGTAGGCTGTCTGCCTCCCATCCAGCCACAAGCTCAGTTGTTCCAGAGGGCTGCGACATTGAACTGCTGCTGTGACTGAGCAAACAGTGGGCTTCTCCAGGAACAGTCTCATCTGGCCCAGTCATTGACCTCCTTGAACTGAGCTAAACATCTGTCACTTTTGGAAGCTTTGCATCTTTTTAGTCTTTGCTAACCATTGTGTGTGTGGTGAAATGGATGTTTTTACTGAGGTTGGGAAGGCTTAGGGGGCACCTGAAGTAGGATAAAGGGAGTCCCCTGGGTCCCTGTTTAGATGGGGTTTTTTAAAAAAATTCAGTGTCTAATAAATTCCATATTCTCTTAAATTCCAGGTCTGTTTTATTTTGTGTTCACATTCTTCCTAATCTTGTGCAGGAGCTAGATGGGTTTCTGTCCTTTTTATCTTTAAACACTAAGGCAGGTTGAATGTGAAGAATACTATCTGTGCCAGGTCAGAAAGAAAGAAGTGATTCCAGACTGATGGAGCACTTTCTAGGTGTCAGGTTCTCTTCACCCATGTTCCCATAGGATCCTCATAAGATCACACCCATCTTACACATGAGCTGCTAAGTGGCATGGTGGGTATATGTTGTTGTGTGCCATAGAGTTGATTCTGACTTATAGCGACACTATAGGACAGAGTAGAACTGTGAGTCTCCTAGACTGAAATATTTACAGGAACAGATCACCAGGTCTTTTCTTCCACGGAGTGGCTGCTGGATTTGAACCACAGACCTTTTGGTTAGCAGCCGAGCACTTAACCATTGTGTCACTAGGGCTCCTTTGGTGGGTGTTTAATCCCGAGTATTTTCAGAGTTCTTTCCACTCTTGCCTTTCCAAAGGCTTTTGAAATGGAATTTCTGGGGACAAGCAATGTAAAAAGTTCTGGGCATTCCACATTCTTGCCAACATTTGGTGTTGTCAATCTCATTGAAATTTCAGTCATTCTGGTGGGTATGTAGATCTTATTCTGTTTTTAATTTGTATTTCCCTGATGGCTAATGATGATCATCTTTTCATGTGCTTACTGGCAATTCAGTTCTCTTGTTTTTATGTCTTTGATTTTTTTTGCCCATTAAAAAATTTTAATTCAAAGTAAAATTGTCATAAAAAACCACGTCCAGCAAAATCTTGTAATAAGACACCCAACTTGGTTTGCAAAGATATCTCACTAACAAGGGCAAATAGTAATAATATCAAAATAATTCAAATGGGCTCATCTGTTAAGACTGAATCTAGTTGTCACCTAAAAGAAATGTTATGTCTCTGAAAGAACAAAGCTTTCTGTCTGCAGATCTAGAAGCAGACTATGAACTCCCTACTTCTCCTCTCCAACAAAACCTCCCTAGCTCTGTCGTTAGGTTAGATCCGTTGTTTTAAAAAATGTTTTATTTTGGAATAACTTTAGATTTGTACAGAGAACTTACCAAGGTATTACAGAGAGTTTCCATATACTCCTCATCTGTTTTCCCCTAATGTTAACATCTTCCATTACCATAGTATATGGTTATTTAAGCTAAAAAAACCAACATTGGTACATTATTGTTAACTAAAGGAGACCTGGTAGTACAATGGTTAAGCGCTCAGCTGCTAACTGAAAGGTCAATGGATTGAACCCACCAGACGGTCTCTGGGAGAAAAGACCTGGTGATCTGCTCCCATAAAGGTTACAGCCTAGGAAACGAGATGGGGCAGTTCTCCTCTGTCCTATAGGATTGCTATGAGTTGGAATCAACCTGATGGCACACAACAACAACATTGTTAACTAAACTTCAGATTGGATTTGGATTTCACCAGGTTTTCTACTGAAGCCATTTTTCTGGTCCAGAATCTAATCCAGGACACCACATTGCATTTAGTTGTCATGTTTCCTTAGTCTCCTCTGGTCTGTGACAGTTTCTCAGTCTTTCCTTTTTTTTCATTACTTTGGCAATTTTTAAGACTGCTGGTCAGGTATTTTGTAGAACATCCCTTGATTTGGGTTTGTCTGATGATTTTTTGCATGACTTGATTGGCGTTATGGGTTTTTCGAAAGAATACCAGAGCTGAAGTACAGGGGCGTAGCAAGGGTAATGAGTGCCCTGGGGCAATCTCTAAGTTGCAATACACCCCCCAAGATGAATAGACATTGATAGTGGCCATGTGTCAAAGAAATAACCTTCCCCCATCTTGTCTGGCCACCTCAGGTTGGCGCCTTTCATGTTTGTGGCTCCTTGGAATATCATTCCTTGCTTCTCTTGGTATCCCCTTGACTTTCACCCAGGGGCAAGTGCCCCTCACTACGCCTCTGTCTGCCGTGCTTGAGGAAGGATGTTGAGCCATACCTGATTAACAGGAACTGCTCAGTGGCACCTCCCACTGGAAGAGGCTACACAGGCCTGGTTCACTCTTATTTACTCCGCATTGCTAACCACCACATTGTCTTATGATCTTGTTTCTCCAGTTTCTACAAAAGGTTTAAGATTAACCGATGTTCCTCCTTGGAGGGTAGAAAACAAGTGATAATGATCTAAGCATGAAAACCAAACAAAGCACCTATCTTGTGACAAGGAAAACCAGGATGTCACCAGATAACCTCCAAGAATACCAGTAGAAGATTAACTCATGGAGACATGACCACCTCAAGGGGAAACTAACACAAACTTCTAACACCAATAATCCTGTCCTATAAAAGCCTTCAGCCGATCTCCAGTGGGGGAGACAGGTTTTTTGGAGGAATCTATTCCCCTCTGTCTCCTATACATCGATATATAATAAACCTCTTGCTGCTCACCTCACCCGTCTCAGAATTGGCTATTGCGGCAGGCGGCTCCAATTCGCGTTATTGCAGTAACACCCCCCCCCCTTCAAGTGGCACCCAGGGCAAGTGCCATACCTGCCATACCTTAGGTACACCTCTGCTGAAGCATCCTGATCTTTTCATATCAGGGGTTACATGATATTAACATGACTTATCATTGGTGATATTCATCTTGATCACTTGATTAAGGTGATGTTGGCCAGATTCCTCCTTTGCAAAGTTACTATTACTCTCCATACTCTTCTTTAGAAACAAGTCACTGCATGCTGCCCACAATCAAGGCAGGGAGGGATTAAGTTGCACCTCCTGAGGCAGGGAGTATCTACATATATTATTTGGAATTCTTCTTAAGGAAGATTTGTCCCTTCTCCCAAGGGGAGTGTTTTAAAATGAAAATCTTGAGGTTACTTTCCTGCTTAAAATCCCTCAGTTGTTCCTTACTGCCCTGAGTGGTACAAACAGTTAACATATTTGGCTGCTAACCTAAAGGTTGGAAGTTTGAGTCCACCCAGAGGTGCCTCAGAAGAAAGGTCTGGTCATCTACTTCCAAACTCAGCCATTGAAAACTCTATGGAGCCAGTTCTACTCAGACACACATGGGATGGCCATGAGTCACAGTCAACTCAGTGGTAACTCATTGTGGTTTAGCCTTATCATGGTTTATTTTCAGAGATTTATGATCTGGCCCCTCCTTGTATCTCCAACCTTTTTCACCACTCCTAGCCTCTCCTTCCTCCCTGCACCCCCCTAAACCCCAACAGTATTGGATTTGATGCAGTTCTTTAATGTTCCACATTGTCTTTTACCTTTGAGGCTCCTATCAAACTGTTCCTTCTGCTTCTAACACCCCACCCTCCAGCTGGCTAACTCCTACTCATCCTTAAGAACTCAACCATCACTTTCTAAGAGTTTAGGTGAATATTGGGGAGTGGGTGGGGAGGAGGGAAGGCTTCCTTATAAGTGGGGCAAATGTCTGTGTGCATCCATGGCACTCAGTAATTCCCTTTTGTCATTGTCATTACACTTGTTAATCGGCCTTCCCAATCAACCACAAAGGCCGCTGCTTGTTTGGCTCACAGCTGTATCCCAGCATTTGCAGAGGTCTAGTACAAAACAGAAAACCCTGGTAGCACAGTGGTTAAGAGTTCAGCTGCTAACCAAAAGGTCAACAGTTCAAATCCACCAGGCATTCCTTGGAAACCCTATGGGGCAGTTCTACTCTGTCCTATAGGGTCGCTATGAGTTGGAATAGACTCCATGGCAATGGGTTTGGGTTTTTTTTTTTTTTTTTTTTAGCACAAAACAGGCATTCATTAAGACAATTTGTCTGAAATAAAAATGACTTGAAGGGAGGGAAATGGCTTTCCTATTTTACAGAAAAAACACATCGAGGCCCCAAAGTCACATGAGTTGTTCAAGGTCATAACATTAATTAGTGACAAGGCCAAACCAAAAAACAAACAAACAAACAAAAAACCCCAAACCAAAAATTGCCCCTTGAGTCAATTCCAACTCATAGCAACCCTATAGGACAGAGTAGAACCGCTCCATAGAATTTCCAAGGAGCGGCTGGTGGATTCGAGCTGCTGACTTTTTTGGTTAGCAGCCAAGCTTCTTAACCACGCCACCAGGGCTCCAAATAAGGCTAAAGTAAAGGCAAAAGTGGAATGGTCAGAAGACCACATCTTCCCAGCCATACCCATACTGCGGGATCCTGCGTATTTGCCGCCACACGGAAAGAAGACTTTCCTGCTCAAGGCGCCTTAGAGATAGTTAGCTTTGCACGTGGGGCCTGGGTTTTCTATCTCACTGCTGAGGTCCAAGAATATGTAGGGTCTGTGGCAGACATTCAAAAACTATTTTCTTGAACAAAAACGGGAGAAATCACAAACCTTGATGAAAAGCTTTCATAGAGGAATGATGTTTTAAGGCTGCCTAGCCTTAATCTGGTGAAGCTTTTCCGTGGGCCTCACAAAGACATAAGTTTGCAGAAATGCCTCCTTGGCTCTAACCATTTCCGGAAATTGGGGGACTAAGGCAGGGAGGCAGAAGAGGGGCCCCGCGCGCCAGGTAGGGTACCGCCCAGGTGTGCGGGAACCCCGGCCTGGAAGCAGTGCCCGCGCATTCAGACCGCAGAGTGCTAACGCGGGAGCCGGCAGCCTGCCCCTCGTTCAGGAGATCTTGGCTTCTGGGCCCCTTCCCCTTCTTGGGCTCGTCCTTCCGGCCTGGGGCTTATCGGCATATCCGGGCAGGGACGGGCCTGGGGAGTCACCGCCCCTGTGCTGCGACTACGTCTGCGTTCTACAGCCAGCAGGCAACACTGACGTGTCCTCCGGCCTGGGTGGTAGGGAGCAAACCGCGCCCTTGCAGTCCGGGGACCCGGTCCCGGCGCAGGCGGCCTCTGGGATCCCTGAGTCGCCATGCCCCGGGCCCGGTTCCGTCGCTGTCCTCGCCCAGGTTTAGAGAGTTCCCAGGCCGAGGAAACGGACACTTAACACGCTTCTCTAGAGGCCCGCGTCCGGTCTTCTCCAACTCTCCCAAGTAGGTGTGACTCCCCCCGACAAACTTTGCAGAGTAGGAAGCCAGCAGGACCTCCCTTTGTGCAGACTCGAGGATTCTTTGCAGAAGTCTCCGCCGTTTTGTCTCAAGCTGCTTGCAGCAACTCAGCTTCCTCCTCTAGGAAACCTGGAATAGTTTCTTGCGAGGAGCCCTGCAGGGTTTTTTTTTTATGTGTTATATTGCTCCCACTTGTGGACTTTGGAGGCCTGGCTGTGCGTGGATGCCCGGCTGTGGACATCACAGGCCCCTATCGGCCCCGCTGGTCACGGGAGTCAGCCTTCTGCCTTGCAAGGCGCAGAGCTGGGAACCTGGCAGTCCCTAGACCCAGGCGGTGCCCTCCCTCCCTGGGCTGGTTAACAGAGCAGGCAGGCCTCTCTGCCCCTTCCTCAGACCTAGGCCGTCGGGAAGGACAAGGTGAGCACTTGGGAAAGCCCAGCCAACTTGGGGAAGACCCCAGAGAAGACTTCTTGGAGCAGTATTTAGCGGCAGGGACACCCTGGGTTTCTGTGCCCCGGCGGGTCACCCATCCTTTGGTGCATGGGAGCTTGTGCATCAGGACTGGAAAAATCCACGAGGAGTAAATAATACAATAACTCATTCTATTGAACTTTGACCATGAGTCAGCATTTGTTCTAAGTTCTATGTTAACTTATATATTTATATCTTCACAGCTACCCTATGAGGTAGAGTTATAGCCCCTGCCCCCAGCAGTTATGGAAACAGAAGTGAACAAGCTCACATCTCCTCAGAGTGAGACCACCATCTCCTTTGCCCAGCCTCCCGCTCTCCCTCCCTTCATCCAGAGTGCAAAGGGGGCCCTGGAGCTCTCCTTGGGGTACCAGCACTTTCAGACACTCCCTCCCCCACTCCTCCTTCTCCGTCCCCACGCACCATCTACTCCAGACCACCAGATAATCTCATCCTTCCCTTTACTCCTACGTACATCAGTCCCTGCAAGACACCAGGACTCCCAGGCCAAAATCTGCTGTAACTCAGAAAATTTTGACCTGGCCTGTCGAAATCAAGGCAGCAAGAATAAAAAATGAACATTGGTGACCCCTTAGATTGCAGAATGAAAAACTTCCACAATAGTGAAACAAGCTAAAGCAGCAACAAGTTAAAGTCATATAAAAGTAGCAGGCACAGCCCTTGGCACATAATAGGTCCTTAGCTGATTTTATTTGTTGAAGTGATTGTACACATGGTGACAAATAGTAAGGGACGCAGGAGTAAGTACATAAACTTAAACGGGCAGCTATGGAAGCAGGAGGCCATGAAACTTCCAACTTATTGCTGATGCTTGGTGCTATGGAAAGTCCTTGAGCGGCCTGTGCATCGAGTGCCTTTGTCTTTTTGCAGATGTTCACCCTCCCTCAGAAGGAATCCAGGGCACCTACCACCTGTCCAGGCCCAGCCACCACACAGGACCTGGGAAGTAGCTGTGACAATGGTCCAGAAAGAGAGTGCTCCAGAAAACCAGATCAGAAGCTCTATGGAGTGGGTGATCCCACTGCCACATTCTCCTCTGGCAGCTCCTACCTGTCCTCTCGAGGCAGTATCATTAAGTGGTTCTGGGACTCTGCCGAGGAGGGCTACAGGACCTACCACCTGGATGAGTATGATGAGGACAAAAACCCAAGTGTGAGTGAAGCCTCCTCCCCTACCCCCCATCCCCGCCAGGCCCCAGGAGAGCAGTACAGGGTGGTGTACTCTACTTTGGCCAATAAGCTGGACCGCATCCAGCTTATTTTTGTCAGGTTGCAATTATGGCCCTCTAGTCCTCTGATCTCACTACCTTGGCCAATAGGACAGCCCCCAGCTTGCTCTTTTCAGGTTGACATTATCCACGAGGGCCTCCGATGTAGCTCAAAGAGTTGATTGGCTGGATCAGAAAATGGCCCATTTATAATAAAGGAGGCCCTGTGTGTTTCAGAGTAGAACTGTGCTCTATAGAGTTTTCATGGCTGTGAACTTTTGGAAGCAAATCACCAGGCATTGTCTTCTGAGGCACCTCTGGTGGGTTTGAACAGTCAGTCTTCTGTTAGTAGCCCAGCTCTTAACTATTTCTGCCACCCAGGGACGCCACAGAATAGTCAAGATTAAATGAGATGAAATATGTAAGGTTATCAGCACAGGGCTTGGCATATAATATATTCAAGAAACTGTAGCTGCTGTTATTATTATCTGTCCCAATTATTATAGGTTATTACTACTAATAGTATGTCACAAATAATCCTTTAGCAATCTGTATTTGTTGAACATCTATCAGGTGCTGGGCACTCTTCTAGGTTGCAGGGTTACAGCAGTGAGCAACGACGAAGTTCCTGTCCTCATGGAGTTTATATTCTAGTGGGAGAGACAAACAGAGGACAGTTAAAAAAAAGTATATATATATATGGTAATAAGTGCTATAGAGAAAAGTAAAGCAGGATAAAGACAATAGAGAATGATATGATGGGCTGGGGATGTTGCTATTTCATGTAAGGTGGTCTCAAAGGCCACTTTAATAAGGTGACATTTGAGCAGAGATGTGAAAAAAGTGAGTGAGTGTATTATCTAACTATTGCTGTGTAACAAATTACCCCAGATTTTAGCAGCTTAAAACAACAAACATTTCACAGTTTCTGGGGTTCAGGAATCCAAGTGGGTGCCTCGGGCTTAAGATCTTTTGTGAAGTTGTAGTGAAGTTGAGGCTGCGGTCTCATCTGAAGGCTTCACTTGGTGGTGGGGAATCCACTTCCAAGCTTACTCACACAGCTCTTGGTAGAGGCCTCAGTCCCACACCACACAGACCTCTCCACACAACTGCTTCATGACATGGCAGCTGGATTCTCCCAGGGTAAGCAATCCAAGAAACAGTGAGAGAGTGTGAGCAACCTAGATGGAAGCTACAGCCTTTTGTAACCTAGTTTCTGAAGTGACGTTCCATCACGTCTGCCATATTTTATTTGTTAAAAATGAGGCAATGAGGCCATCCCACACTCCGTGGGAGAAGACTGCACAAGGGCATGAATACCAGGAGGTGGGGGTCGTTGGGAGCCATCTTAGAGGCTCCCACAGGGAGTGAGCTATGAGGCTATCTGGGGAAAGAGGATTCCAGGCAGGGGGAACAGCAAGTGCAAAGGCCCCAGCGTGGAACCATGATTGATGAGTTCAAGGGCAGCGAGGGGGCCAGTGTAATTGGAGTGAAGCAAGCAAAGGGAGACTGGCAGGAGATGTGGTCAGAAAGGAATGGGAGAGGGGCAGTAATGTACCCTGTAGGGTCTTATAGGCCATGGTGAGCCTTCTGATTTTAGACAGAGGTGGGAAGTGTTCAGAGGAGGAGCAACAGGATCTGATTTAAGTTTTAAAAAGATGACTTGGGCTGCTGGACTGGGCAAGAGATGAAGTAGGAGAGCTATTGCAATAAAGTAGACAAGAGATTATGGTGGCTTGGATCAGGGTCTTAGTGAAGAATGAGAAGTGGTTGGATTCTGAATATATTTTGAACGTAGAGCGAACGGTGTTTGCAGATGGATTGGTTGCAGGTGGAGAAGCCCATCAGTTTTCTCCCTAGGGGGCATGAAGGAGCATTGCCTTATATTTATCATAATCTTAGCTCATTCAAGCTCTAGTTTTCATCCTTCTGCCTTCTTTTGCACCTCCCAGTAACTCAGGAGTTAGCTGTGCATGAGGCCAGCGCTGAGTCTCTCTAGGGACTCTGTAAGGAACAGCTCAGGCTGTTTACCTTCGGCCCTCTCTTGCCTATCAGAATAAATGACTATGGGGTAGGGATCAAGGTGTTGTGTGATGTTACACGGGGCTCCTGGGGGAGCGTTTACCCTGACACAGGGGCCTCATCTTGATCTACATTTACTCGTTTCTGTTCTGCCAGAATTCCAATTTACCTTTTACAATATGTCACCCTGTAGACATGTATTGGTCCTACTAAACCACTTGAGAGATACAGTGGTGTCTTGGGCATGCACCTGACCTTCAGGGGGCTTATCACCTTGTAGGGGAGATTAAAGCATGTACATCAGTCCCTGTGACCTGGGGCAGGAACTGACCAGCACTCTAAGGAGGGTGGTGGGGACAGATAAAGTGCTTTGGGGTCCAGAGGAAGAAAAGGTTTCTTCTAGGTGGGGTTTTGGGGAAGGCTTTATGGAGGAGATGGTATTTAAACAGAGATTTAGAAATGGAAAGATAGGGTCAGGGAGCTGAGTGGAGGGCACAACTTGAACAAAGATGGAAATTATGGTTGGAAGGGTGGGATTGCAGAGAGCTCCCACTTTGCTTTGCTGCCTTGGTGGGTTCCTTGGGCCTTTCAGTGGCACCCCTCAACCATGCTCAACCTGTCTCTGTACCTCTTGTCTCCAGGGCATCGTTAACTTGGGCACCAGTGAGAACAAACTCTGCTTTGACCTGCTGTCCTGGCGGGTGAGTCCTGGTGTGCCTCTGGTGGCATCACTAACTTCAAGGGCGGTCTTCCCTTGGACTTCCCCAGAGTGCTTCCGCCACAAGAGTCTGTTGCTTGCCTCAGTGGCCCTGGCCTGAGAGCCAAGAGACCCAGGTTCCAGATCTGCCTTGGGGCCGTGTTCTGTGTGATCTTGGGCAAGTCACTTCCCCACTCTGATTCTGTTTCTTCATCTCTTTGAGCTCTTCCCTCCCTTCAGTCCTTCACGCTGTCTGCGTCCCTTCGCTGAGGTGGGAACCCACAGTGGTGTGCTGGTCAGTGTTTAACAACTGACTCTCCAGGGGGAACAAAAGCCTTGATGTGAAGCTTTTGCCAATTTTCATAGTAAAAAACCCCCACCATGGCCAATTTCAAACCACTGATGTGACATCACCACGCATGCAGTTGGGAAGACCGGCATAGTAGACACCATTATGTAGAATTCCCACCAGACGGACACAATAGATGTAAATAACCTCAAGAGCGTAGATAATGCTAAAATGTAGTAACATAATTAGGAAGTAATGATTTTTGAGTACTTACTACTTTTGCTTTTAATATAATGTACTTAATTGCAAGTTTATATGGTTTAATTTTTTAAATGGCTTATTTTAACACAGCTTGCAAAATTCCTGAAAAGTTAATTGGCAGCTTTGGTGAGCTGATGTGAGCCAGCTCTAGCGAGCTATTGGACGTACCTGATAATTGTCTCCCTCAAAGGCTTGTTGTCAGAGTTTGGATTTGTAGAGAGAACAATCCTTAACCAAAAAGAACACATTTCCAAAGATGGAAATTTAGGCATCAAGGGGAAGGAACTGTGGAAAATAGGTTTTTAGTGGAGTGTTGTATAAAGAGCACTGGATTAGAGTAAAAAAATTGGGTATTTGTCTCAGCTCTGCCACTTGCTAGCCCTTTGACCTTGACGGACTCACCTCACTTTTCTGAGCCTCGGTTTCCTCATCTGCAAAATGGGCATGAGAACGCTGTACCTGTGCTTTCTCTCTCATGGTTTCTCTGACGAGCAGACCATGGTCTTGGCTGGGTGGGACTGCGGGAGGCACCAGCTTCACCAGGTGTAAAGCTGTTGGCCTCGGCGTAAAGTGCTGTATGGATGCGGGTGGCAGTGCTGACCCTCACGCCCTACTCTCTTCTCTGTCCCTAGCTGAGTCAGAGTGACATGCTGCGGGTGGAGCCATCCTTGCTGCAGTACCCTGACTGGAGGGGGCATCTGTTGTAAGTAGTGATATAGGCCAGTTATTCTTAGGCAGGGGTGATTTTGTGCCCCAGGGGACATTTGGCAATGTCTGGAGACATTTGTGGTTGTCACAACTGGGAGGGGGGGTGCTACTAACATTTAGTGGGTAGAGGCAAGAGACATTTCTCAAGCTGCTACAATGCACAGGACAGCCCTCCACAACAAAGAATTATCCAGACCACAATGTCCTAGTGCCAGGGTAAGAAAGCCTGGTCCTGGACACCTGGGGCTTGCGGGGTCTCCTGGGGCATCTGCAGGGAACTGGTGCCTCCTGCCAGTCTACCCAACTTAGGTGTCCCTGACCCTGGGTGTGAGGCATGGGGAGGGCTTTCAGGCAAAGAGTCTTTGTGCTGTTTTCTCTGTAGCTTTGGGAGTATTAGGGGAGCCAGAATCAGCTTTAGGCCTTTTCCTAATGATAAGATGGGAGGAGGTAAATAATGCTAATAGTTTATGTTTACTGAGCAATTACTATAGGCCAGACACTGTTCTAGGGGCTTAGTGATGGAGCAGGACTTGATGTCAAGACTGACTCCAAAGCACATGTTCTTATACTAATTAGGAGAGAAGGCCCTGGAGTCAGACTACTGGGTTTGAATGTGGGCTCTGCCATTTAGCAGCAAGTGATTTCATTCCTTTGAACCTCAGTTTCTTCATCTGTAAAATGGGAATAATGATAATAATAGTAGTTGCATCCGGGGGTTATTATGAAGGTAAAAAATTCTCCATAAACGACACCTGCATAAGGTAACTGCTTAATAAATATTAGCAGTAATAACTATAGTAATAGTTATCATTGTAGTAACATTTTATTATTGTTTTATTTATTATTATTAGCTAGGGCTATGTGTAGAGCATCACTTTTGATATTCTTAAAGTCTTCTAATTTGTTGGGGTTGGGTGTCCTAGACCTATTGAGGATGAAAGTTTCAATGCATGTGAGTGAAGAAGGGTGGGGAGGTGGGTGCTGAAGAGTGGAGACAACCCCTGACCACACTCCCCTCGTGGAACTAGGGAGGGTGATGGCAGCTCCCTGAAGAGTTACCAAAGGAGCTTTGGGATGGACTAAGGGTTGAGGGCCTCCTGGCAAGTACTGTCTGTCTGTCTGTCTGCTTGTCTCTAGCCTCCGGGAGGAAGTGGCCAGGTTCCTGTCTTTCTACTGCAAGAGCCCGGTACCCCTCAAACCAGAGAATGTGAGTACCCCCTCCTCTGCTCCTCGCTGCTCTGACACCCCCACTTCCTGACTTTTGGCTGGCCTAGGGTGAGGTGGGGTTGGGTTCTGCCTTTCACTTAGTTTTGATTTGTTTCAAGGTAGAATTGGGAATACCGCTTTCCTTCCTTCTTCCTAATCCACGGCATTTAGCGTCTGGATAAATTTCTGCCCCACTTTGTCTTTGGTCCCTCTTTGCCCCCACACCTCCAGGAAAGACTTGCAGAGCAACCAGCTCCCCTTGTTGTGGTCCAGTTGTTCTACAGCAGGGTCCACACTCAGGAGCTTGGCTGGTAGTCAGGAGGGCCTTTGGGCACCTGGGAGACACCAAGGAGGGACTACCTGATTCTTCCTCCCCCTGTGTCATCCTGGGACAGAGGCTGCGGGTCCTTGCTCCCTTCTGGGACAGGTTCATCTTTGTCCCATGGATGTGTCGCCCTCAGGTGGTTGTTCTGAATGGCTGTGCTTCCCTCTTCTCTGCCCTGGCCACGGTCCTGTGTGAGGTGGGGGGTAAGTAGACTCTGGGGGCTGCAGTATGCCTGGAGTGTCCCCATTGCCTGGCCCTGAGGGATATATCAGAATGCTTTTGGCTGTAATACATTTGGCTGTAATACAATACCAGACCAATCAGGGTACAAATGATGGCATAATAGGACACCAGGATCCGGCAGCTCCGGGGAGATCAATGTGATAACAGGGTTCTGGACTGCCACTCTGTGATAATCTTGGCTTACCTTCATGGTCACAAGGTGACTGTCACATCCTCACATGACAGCATTGTCCCACAGCAGGAAGAAAGGATTGAGGTTGTGCCTTGTCTGTATCTTTTTTTATCAGTGGTGGGGTAGAGTCTCTTTCTCAGAAGAGTCCCAGCAGAGCTCGTCTTATGTTACTGGTTAGAACTGACTCATAAGCCCATTCCCAAAGCAGTCCCTGGCCAGGGGGACCAGGAGAACCATGGTTGGCTTAAACCAAGCTTGGTTCATCCCCTGGGGCTGGGGAGGCCCCCCTTCCTTGGACATATTGCTGGTCATATCTGAAAAATATAGTGTTCTCTTAGCAAGGAAGAACATTGGATTGGCTGTTGAGTAGGAAGCCAGCAAGTCTGCCTCAAGAGCCCTGGTAGTCTTAAGAACCAATAGTGGTCAGGGGTTATTGGTTGCAAGGAACAAAGGTCCACTTATGCTAGTCCAACTAACAATGATAATATTAGTAACATTGATTGACCACATACTACGTTCCAGGTACTGGTCTAAGGCTTTACATATACTATGTCATTGAATCCTCACAACACCCCTATGAGGTAGATTCAGTGGTCATCCCTGTTTTACAGATCAAGAGATTAAGCCACAGGGAGGTTAAGTAACTTGTCAAAGTCACACAAAGAGCAGGTAGTAACCAGAATTTGAACCCTAAAAGGAAGAGTCACTGTAAGGACATAATAGGTAGTTTCATATCCATTCAAGAAGAATCAAGAATAGGATCAAGGTCACGCTCTGAGTCTCTCATAGGGTGTACAGTCTCGCCCCCGCCGCCCCTGCTTTTTGCCCTCTCTCTGGATCATCCTCAGCTCTCATCTGGTCCAGAGTAGCTGCCCCAGCACCAGCTCCACATGGCCTGTCCGTCCAAATGCGCGTTGTCATCCCACAGAGTCTCTGCTTCTTAGATCAGAGTCTTGGGAGAGAAGGCAGGATGGGTTTCTAGCCAACCAGTGGATTGGCTTCCTTGGGTCATGTGTCCACCTTTGGTCTGATCCCTGTGGCCAGAGGAGGAAACAGACAGAACAAAGGCTGCCCCTTCCACAGCTGTGGATTGTGCTAAAGGGGAGATTGGGGAGGGAGGGCAGCTTGACCTATGCATCCTCTTCAGAACTGGAGGAACAGCTTATCTCCATGTTAGAGTGGATCTTGGAGGTCACCTCATCCAATCCGCCCATCCAAAGCTAGACTTCACTGTATGACCAATCCCCAAATAGTCACAGCATTGCATTTGAATACCCTCAGGGGTGGGGAATTCACCCCTCCTGAAGCAGTATCTTCTCTCTTTGGGCAATTCTATGTTGTCAGGTCCATTTGTGGAGCCCAAATCATCACTTTGCAGCTTTTACTCACTGGTCCCAATTCTGTCCTTGGAGCCATCCAGCATGTTGAGGGCTTCAAAAGGACCCTTTAAGCCTCACTTCCCTCATCTGTAAAATAGAGATGATAATGGTACCTACTTCACAGAGTGATTGTGAGGATCAGATGAGATACAATGCAAATAAATGTTTAGCACAGTTCCCAGCATGTGGTAGATGCTCAATAAATGCTAGCTGTTAATTGTTAGAAAAGGGACTGAACTCAGTGGATCCAAACTTTAGGAAGAGTTTTGGGAGTTGGAGGAGACATGCTGTTGAAGGAGGGAGCATGCCCCAAATGTTCCCCAAGGACATTGAAGGCTAGGAGAAGCAGAAGGGCCAGTGGACGGGGGTCCTGGGGTGTGCTGGCCAGAAGATGACAGGCCCTGGCCTACTCCTGCCCCCAGAGGCTTTCTTGATCCCAACCCCTTACTATGGAGCCATCACGCAGCACGTCTATCTCTATGGCAACGTCCGACTGGTCTATGTCTATCTGGACAGTGAGGTAAGAGTTCCTGGGATTCCAGCTCGGACCTGGGCCTTTCTGTCGGCCGAGTGTCCTGCACCTGAATTTGAGGTTGGACATGGGAGAGGCCTGTGCTGAGGGTTCTGGGGTTGCAGGTGAAAGGGGAGTGGAGGCTTCTGTTGTCTGCTAGTTCAGTTCCCAGAAGATTCTCAAGCTCTAGGCTTTGAGATCCCTGGGGTCCATGTAGAAACCAAGGGCCAGCCCCAGGAGCCTATATCCAAATAGTGGGGTGGGGGAGGAGGTGGAACATGCCTCAGATAGAAGCGTACCTCCTAGGACCCAAATCAGAAGACCCCTGGGACCTCTGCCAGAAGCCTAAGAGTGATGAGGGTGGCCCGATGTGACGGGGCAGGAGAGGATGGTGCTGAGAGGGAGTGACCCTACCTCTGTATTTTCCAGAGACTGTTGTAAGGAGGCTGGAATTGTAGTGGTGAGGAGAGACCTGAGAGTTCAGGTTTACTGGGTCAGTGAATTGGGCTGGTGGCTCTGGGGTCTTTTTCCAGGTCACTGGGACGGACACGCGCCCCTTCCAGCTCACGGTGGAGAAGCTGGAGATGGCCCTGCAAGGAGCTCATTCTGAGGTCTGGGGCCAAACCAAGGCCAAGGCTGGGAGTGGGTGGGTCTGAGCAGGGTGTGGACCCTTCTTCCTGTGGCTGATCTCTTCCCAGGAGTCAGGCTGGTAGCCTGTGGTGGGAGCGGGGGAGTGGGCTGGTAGCATGGGACCCTTCTGGAGGTCAGGCAGGACCCTACCCATGGAAGGTCTTCCCACAAAAGATGGGCCCCTTAAACCTCAAACCATCCCCTCACTCTCCTCACCTCCCCCCACCCCACCCCCGTACTCTGCCTGATTCTGACTGAGAAGGTCAAGTGTGGAGCTCAGGAGTCTGTGTTTCAACAGGTCTCCCAGGTGATTTGAGGAGAGTCCCTGGGTGGTGCAAATAGTTAATACGCTTGGCTGCTAACCAAAAGGTTGGCGGTTCAAGTCTACCCAGAGGTACCTCAGAAGAAAGGCTTGGCAATCTACTTCTGAAACATCAGCCATTGAAAACCCTATGGAGCACAGTTCTACTATGACACACATGGGGTTGCCATGAGTTGGGGTCAACTTGATGGCAAGTGGTTTGTTTTTGGTTTTTGTGGCCTCCTGAAGAAAGGCAGAGACCGGTACTCCAGTGGTTCCTTTCCAGTCCACTTCCTAAAAATCCATCTACTTGATTTTCTTCCTTGGTCATTAAAGCTGTACATGCTCACGGGAGGAAATTTGGAAAGTACAAACACCTCTGCTATAATCCTACAACCAGAGGTAACCTCTACTGGCATTTGAGCGTGTTTCCCTCTGGGCTCTGTTCTATGCATTTGTCTCCTTTTCATAGTTGACACGAGGCTGCAGGTGTAATTCTGGGTCCTACTTGTTGGCCTCATGTTGGGTCATGAACATACATGGCCCCTTTCCCTGGGAGCCCACCCAGCCATCTGCCTCATCGGGTGCGACTCTGTGGCCCTGGCCTTCGGGAGAAGCTGAGGGTTTCCTGCTCTAATGGTTTCAGGGTGTGAAGGTCAAAGGCCTCATCCTTATCAACCCTCAGAACCCTCTGGGTGACATCTACTTACCAGGAGAGCTGCAGGAGTACCTGGGATTTGCTGAGAGGTAAGACACCCACCCCACATTCCCACATGCGTCTGGGCAGATCAGGGTTCTGATGTGGACTTTCATGGCAGGTCCTTAGGCCCCCTTCTTCCCCACTGCAGGCTTCCACCAGCTTTGGCCCCTCCCTGGCAGTAAGGTGAGGAGGTGGGGCTTTATGGGATGCTGATTCATGAGAGAGGCTAGACAGTGATTCTTTTTCTTTTTGTAACAACAGCTCTCATTTATGGCACACTCTCCAGGGGTTAGGCACCTCAGTAAGCACGTTACATGCTATATCTCATTTAATCCTCACAACAGCCCTATTGGTACAGATACCTTTTATCCCCATTTTACAGGTGAGAAAACAGGCTTAGAGTGGTCAAGTGAGCGCACCTGCCCCTGACCACACAGTCACTGAGTTGTGGAGCCAGACTTGAATCGGCCAGGTCTGGAGCCCATGTCCTTAACTGTGCCCCTTGTGGAGGTACCTAACGGCTCCATGTCTCCCCTCCAGTTTTTTGAAAGCTCCACTGTCATCTACTTTGTATATATGGGAGAACATAGATGAAAGATGGGTATTCCTGGAAAAACCAAGTTTGGCAACCGAGGCTAGACCTAAGTTCCTCTGGATTTCTCTCACTGCCTCCCCACACGGGAGCACATCATGCTGTATGAACCAAGCCATCTCCTCCCCACCACCTGCCCTCAGGCACAAGCTGCACGTGATTGTGGATGAGGTCTACATGCTGTCTGTGTTTGAGGAGTCGGCCGCCTACAGCAGTGTCCTGGGCCTAGAAAGGTGAGGCCTCCGCCAGCCTCCACTCTCCCACAGTGCCCTGCCCCTCTGTGGCCTGCCCCAGGGCAATTCCTCTTCCACTCAGCTGATCCTGCTGGTCCTCAGATCCCTTAATGAGAAGATGGGAGGGTTGGACTAGATCAGTGATTTTCAAATCTGTCTTAGTGTCCTAGTGCTGTATAACAGAAATACCATAAGGGGGTGGCTTTAAAGAACAGAAATTTATTTCTCACAGTTCTGGTGGTTAAAAATCCAAATCAGGGTCTTGGCCATGTCCATTCCTTCTGTGAACCTCTCTCCTAGTTCTGGTGTCTGCTGGCGATCCTTGCAGTTCCTTTGCTTGTAGACGATCCTCACGTGGCATCTGTCTTCGCCTGTGTGTGTCTCTGTGTTCTGGTCTTTTTATAACTGAGAAGTGATTAGGTTTAGGATCTACCCTATACTGGTATGACCTTAACTGAATGATAACATTATATTGCATTATGGAAGGTGATTATGTTATATCACATCACATCATATTCATTACATTATAGAAGGTAAGCTGCTCTAGACTAGTGTTTGGCGAAACCACCAGGAACGATAGCCTAGCCAAGTTGACACATAAAATCAACCATCACAAAATTGTTCTTTGGAGTTTCTGAGAGCTCCAAGGAGGGGCCTTTGGATTCCTTGGGAGGGGGCTGGATGGGTGGGAAGCTGGTCTCCTTTGCTGTTTCCTTCACCCCCAGAGAAGCTCCAGTTTCATTCATTCATTCATTCGTGTGCCAAGCTCTTCTAGCTACTTAAGCATTAGGTTTAGTTTGGGCAAAAGAATTTGTGGCCAAAACACATTTGGAAACACTTGGACCAGATTATCTCTGAAGTCCCTTAAAAATCTGATGCGCAGGGATTTTAACAGTTCTGACGTTTGTTCAGAACTTTCAACCCTGCAAAGTACTTTCCATTGGTTCTCTCATCTAATCCTCATAAAGCTCTGCAAAGTAGAAAGAGCATGTAACATTACTTCCATTCATTTGTGGGTTAGAAAAGTGAGACAGAGAAAATAGTGACTAATCCTTGATCCTCGGTTACTCATTTAAAAAGCAGTTATGAGCATTGCTCTGTGCCAGGCACTGTGCTGGTGCGGGGACTACAAAAATGAACAAGAAAGGCATAGGCCCTTCCTATGTGGAACTTTTATTTCTAGCCAGAATAAAACCTTTAGTAGCTAAAAACATAGTCATTTGTTTATGGCCATAATAAAAGAAGTCTGAGGAGCTATGAGGAAGCCGCTTGGGGTGCCCAATTGGCTTGCTTTGCTGGGGGGTGGACAGGGAAGGTCTCTTTGAGGAGATGACACTTGATCTGGATCAGAGGAGGGCCAACTTTTTCTGTAAAGGGCCAGATAGTAAATATTTTAGCTTTGTAGGCCATTGTAGCAAAAGGGGCCATAGACAATCTGTAAATGAATGAGTGTGGTTGTGTTCCAATAAAACTTTATTTACAAAAACAAGCAGTGGACTGAATTTGGTCTGCAGGCTATAGTTTGCTGACCCCAATTCTAAAGATATGTAGGAACTGATGATTCAGTTTCATTCATCATCTCCTCATTTGTTCAGCTAACACATATAAGCTCCCTTTGTTTCTGTGCTGCTCTCTGCAGGCTGCCTGACCCCCAGAGGACCCATGTGATGTGGGCCACCAGCAAGGTGAGTTCCTGGCTGGCCACAGGGGGTGTCAGGAAGGTAGGAGGCACAGAGGTGGATGGAACTGGATTCCTCTGGGGAGGGCTGGCCACTCCTTAGGGTGCCTTCCTCCTGCAGGACTTTGGGATGTCCGGGCTCCGCTTTGGCACACTGTACACAGAAAACCAGGATGTGGCCATTGCTGTGGCTTCCCTCTGCCGCTACCATGGCCTCAGTGGTTTGGTCCAGTACCAGATGGCACAGCTGCTCCAGGACCGAGGTGACTGCCTGGGTCTGGTGACCTGAAATGGGTGGTGTGGGGGGGAGGGTTGTAGTCTGTCTGGCCAGGGTGAGCGATTGGCCAAAATCAGGGCTGCTTCTCCCATGGGAATTCAGGGTGGTATTTGAGAGCGCAGGCTCTAGGCCCAGACTGGGTTCATATCCTACTTGGTTACTGCCTGGCTGTGTGGCACGTTAGTTCACCTCCCCAAGCCTTGGTTTCCTCAGGGAAACAGGGATCATAGTGGGGCCTGTCTTGTAGGGTTATTGTGATTTGTAATACAATTAGGATAAACCTGGCATAATAATAGGCACTTGGTTAATGTGAACTCATTATTACAAGCCGTGAGCACATAAAGGCAGGGAGCAGGAGCTACTAAGGAAAAACTTATAATGGAATTATCTCTGTCTGTGCATAACCCTATGGACCACAGCAGTCTGATCCCATTGTGTGTGGGGTCGCCATGAGTTAGGGGCTGACTAGACAGCAGCCAACAACAACAACAACACACCAAAAAAAAAAAAAAAAGGCAATAAAAAAATGAGGATCAGAGAGGAAAAGTTGCCCATGGCCACACACCGTGTCAATGACTGTGGTGGCATCTGAACCTCGTTCTGTGTGACTTTAAAGCACATGTGCTTCACTTTGGAACTGGATAAACCTTTGGTTAGCTTCTGCATCCTGGGGGACTTTGGGCTCCTGAATGAAACACAGGACCGTGAGCTGTCAAGGTCAAGTCTCTGAATTTAAGGTGCTTTGCACCAAATGGGGCCCTGGTAGCACAGTGGTTAAGAGCTCAGGCTGCTAACCCAAAGGTTGGCAGTTCAAATCCACCAACTGCTCCTTGGAAACCCTATGGGGCAGTCCTACTTTATCTGGTAGGGTCGCTATGACTTGGAATCGACTTGACAGCAGTGGGTTTTTTGATTTTGCACCAAACACTGAGTTTCCCCCTCTATCAACCAGCTCTACAAAAAAAAGAAAAAAAAAAAACCCAAACCCATTACTGTCTAGTTGATTCCAACTCATAGCGACCCTATAGGGCAGAGCAGAACTGCCCCAAGGAGCCCCGGTGGTGCAGTGGTCAAAGTGATTGATGCTAACCAAAAGTTTGGTGGCTTGAAACCACCAGTGGCTCCAGAGGAGAAAGATGTGGCAGTCTGCTTTTATAGAGATTTACAGCCTTGGAAGCCCTATAGGGTTGCTATGAGTGGCTGGTGGGTTTGAACCACTGACCTTTCAGTTAGCAGCCAAGCACTTAACCACTGCATTAACAAGTCTCCTTTAACTAGCTCTAGAAGGGGCTCAGTGTTGGAAGCTTATAGCCTTTTCCTTTTCAAATTTTAGACCAGCCCAGTGGATGACTGAGGGAGATTTATCTTTTGGTTTCCCTTTTACCCAAACAGACTGGATCAACCAAGTGTACCTGCCGGAAAACCACGCCCGGCTCAAGGCTGCCCACACATATGTCTCTGAAGAGCTCAGGGCCCTGAGGATCCCCTTCCTGAGTCGTGGGGCAGGCTTCTTCATCTGGGCTGACCTGAGACAGGTAATGCAGGTGAAGCTGAGAGGCAGTTCTAAGCCTTCATCCAACAGGTGGGAGGCAGAGGTGGGCCAGAGCCTGCCCCAGTCTCAGCTTCGTCCCGAGATCCTTCCATCCCCCCAGTACCTGTCTGAGGGCACCTTTGAGGAGGAAATGCTGCTGTGGCGCCGCTTTTTGGACAACAAGGTGCTGCTGTCCTCTGGCAAGGCCTTTGGGTGTAAAGAGCCAGGCTGGTTTCGCTTCGTCTTCTCGGACAAAGCCCACCGGCTTTGCCTGGGTGAGCAGTCCGTCTTCCCACCCCACCTCCTCACTGTGCCCTTCTTCCTGCCCTCCCTCTTCTGGCCCCAGGAGACCCTCACATCTGGCCATCAGAGCTGACCAGGCCCTCATGTCCCCTTCCCAGGTATGCAGAGGGTCCGGCAGGTGCTTGAGGGCAAATCCCAGGTGGCAGAAGACCCCCCCTCCTCTCAGACCCAGGAGCCCAGCAGCTAGCACAGGTAGGCTGGTTGTTAACTTGTGGCCAGAGGACCTAGTAGCCACTACCGGCCTGGGCGTGCCAAGGCTGCGGGAGACTGATTGTGGATGAGCCATTTGCCAGGAGGATACCTGACTTGGCCTGACCCCTGAAGAAGAGGAGCTGTTTCCTGCCTTTTTCTGTGGCTG